GGAATTAGGACCCTTCTGGAAAAGTCATGGAAAAGCCGGGGAATTTCGGAAAAATATGGCAGGTCATAGAAACTGACTGTAGCCTGCGCGACTATCACAAAAATAAGCGTTACCATAGAGCAAAGCTTAAAAATCCACTCCTTCGGCTGTAACTACAGTAAACAGATAATAGTTGTGTGAAGAAAAAAATAAACACTGTGCAAGTGTTGCTTCTTAGCGAAGACGCGAAAGGATACACCCATGAAAAGAATACAAAGTTTACTGACGTTAAGACACCCGCTACGGGAGCCTTATTCACAAAAATAGCCACAAGAAAATCGCAACGTCCCACTACAGTTTTTTTTTTTACTTTTGGACCCTCGCCTGTATACTTGTTGATCTTGTAACTTAAAAAAAACAATAAACTAAGAATGAAAAAAAATTGAGTATGCCTAAGTACATGGCGTAAGCACCGGAAGTACATTGTTGGATGTGTCCCATCACTCTTGTTCAGCATATGAACAGTTGTCTGCATGTGCTGGTATTTCAGGTGCAGGCATGAAACGTCCACGTAATGTACATAGCAAAAGTTTTCTTTTTTACACTTTAGTTTCTCTAAAAGACATCTGCAGCGACAATACACACACACACACACACACACATACTATATATATATATAATATATATATATATATAATATATATATATATATTATATATATATATATTGTGTGCGTGTGTGTGTTTGTGCGACCATGGACGCGCTGTATTTTTCCCCTCTTTCTTAACTTCATTTTAACTTCCTGCCTTTTATATGGCGTCTATATCTCATGTCTCCGATCTCTGTTTCTTTTTTATTTCGCCTATATTTTCTCGTTAATCGAGATGATTGATCCGAAGCTGGCTGCGGATTCGCGCGGTGGTGCATTCGGGTATTTCGCGGAAGCTGCAGACCAAAAATACAACTTCGAGCGTGGTCGGCCGTCTGATTACAGGCTTCATTGCGTGGGCACGCGCTTGCAGAAAATAAATCGTTTTCTCTTGTTACCGACGCCCGCCCTTAATTATTTCATTTCGGTCTTGTCTCTTTCTTTTTTTTTTTGTTAGCACGCACGCATATGTGCGTATTAATGCGATGCATAATCTATTAAAACGAGCACCGCATATTAAGGAAAGCGAGGGATAATTATTTTTAATTGCCCGCCCCACATACCCGGCCGTGTCGCCTATATCGATTGACCGCGGGTCAGTGGCGAAGAGCAACTGTTAACTGCACAAAAGGAGAGGCGTTGGTTAACTTGATTATATATAACCAGTCTTGGTATAACTATGGATCGCACCCGCCCCAACTGCAATAATAATGAATAAGTTAACTTTTAGGTGTCTTCTTACACAGCACTGATGGCCTTATCTTCATTTTTATATTGAGTAATACGCTTCTCTTATTAGTATTTATTAAAACAGCTCGCAGTTTTTTTTTCTTGAATATATATTTGAGTAGTTCGCAGGTTTTGTAGATTCTGACGCTTCACTTTTTTTTTTTCGAATGTATTAAAGTCAATACTGTTGTCATGAATACGGGCAAAATTTTTGCTGTTGCAAAAAATCCACCCCTTTGTTCATAGCGGAAAGCTATTCCGTGAAATGCATAGGTGTACTTTTAGACAAAAAGCTTTGTTAACAAAATATTTTGCGCATCCTGGAGCACGACGAATTTCTCATTGATTCAGGAACTGTGCTTTCCAAGAAATCTTTATTGGTTTACAACTGCAGCTTTTGTGCGTGTGTAACAGTTAGCCGTTTTGAAGTATAAGCGTTGTTCTGTCCGGCGCGTCGTCGTCCACTTGCGGTTTCGCTACGTTTGTTAAGGGCCGTTCCACGCGCTTCCCGCACAGCCGCAACGCACGTGCCGGGACCCCTACTGCACGCAAGTGGGGGACATTGATTGATTTGTGGGGTTTAACGTCCCAAAACCACCATATGATTATGAGAGACGTCTTAGTGGAGGGCTCCGGAAATTTTGACCACCTGGGGTTCTTTAACGTGCACCCAAATCTGAGCAAGTGGGGGACAAATAAACCAATATGCGACACTGCGGAGGGTGAAAGAGCGTCGCCAATTGGCTTCTTTTACCTCCGCTTGCGTGCAGTAGGGGTCCCGGCACGTGCGTTGTGGCTGTGCGGGAAGCGCGTGGAACGACCCTAAGCATTTCTATTTCTTTCGAAATTCATGAACAACGGTCGACGTGCAGTCACCGCAGCGTTCCTCGTGTGATCAGGCACTTTCCGCTGACCGTGTTTCGCCTCCCGCTCCGCACAGGTGGTTACGCCACTGCGCATGCGCCAGACGTTGAGCGTGTGAGCGGCGGTCAGCGTGGACTGTAATGAGCAAGGGATCACGTGACGCGAGGAGAAGCAGTCAAAATGGCACAGCCTCCCTGTGCCGCGAGTCCGCGCTGCTCGGAAAACGCGGCGGTTGTTCAGCTCTTCACCGGGATACAAGATGATTTGTGCCACCTCCGAGAAATCTTTGCAGTGAATCCCTTCGAAAATCCGCGCATGCGTGGTAAAGTTCTACGAAGCGATCAAAAGCTGACTCTTCGGAAATAAAGAAGCGTCTCGACATGCTTCTTTGGTATTTCCGTCAAAGGGACTTCGCGAACCTTCGCTAGTCAGCGATTTCATGTAACAATAGTAACAATTTAGTTTTTAACAGCAGCCACTCTTTCACACATACAAAAAAAAAAAAAACTCGTGGTGAACGCACTGCCTTCAGGGCAGGGCGTCCGAAACGCGTTTAGGCTGCCTTGAAATCTTAGAGTGTGGTCCAGCTTTAAGTGAAAGTGACAAACGAAAAAAGCTCTTGCGTCTAAAAGGAAAATAATTCACGCTGTTTTAAAACAGAATTTTCTTGCTGCAAGATAAGAACAATCTTTATTTTCTTTGACAACATAGTTGCATGCACCGCTAGCGTCGCGATTGCCTTGACCGCTTGGCTGAAACCGACAACGTGCGTTGCGCTCCGGTATTGTTGAACGTTTCAGCGGAACCGGGAACGGACCGCAAAATCAGTCAGCTAAAAGTCAGCTACTTATACCCCGCGCCGTCCATGCAGCATTGTCGTAACTTGGCTCATCGAATTCCGCCACAACCCCGCACGTGCACTGGACTTCGTCTCAGAAATTTACGTGCGTAAGCGGTCTGTCTTTTTTAGCTCGGCTTGTTTCGCAAGATTTGCATAGCGTATGGAGACCCCACCCGCGTTTGCGAATGCACGGGAGGATTTCGTTTGTACCAACTTTCAGGGGCTAAGCTCCTTGCGCCGTGGATCTGGTGTCCTCGCTGTGGTAGTAGTAGGTAGCCACCTCTCGTTTAGGCCTTGGAATGTCCGCTGGATGGCGGTACTTGCATATGATGAATATGTGATGAAAAGGTGCGAGATGGCGGTACTTGGAAGTGTTCACCAGATGTATGGACAGACAGACAAACAGAGACGGACAGACCGACGGACGGATGGATGATTTACAGTTCACCAATAAACCCCTCCGAGGCTTCGTCCCACTCATCATCATTCACTCCGTGCATATGCTGTGATTTTTTTTTTTTTTTACCACGTCTTGAGACGCTCAGCCATTGGCTCCGCGGCGCCGCCTTTTGGCGTCGTGGCCCGTGGGGCTCGCGTCGGCGGTCGACTGACTGCTACGTGGCGCGCCTAGGGCTAGCTGCTGCGGTAAAGCCTGCGGAACACACGTGCGCGCTGTGGCACGGGGATATGCGAGACGCAGAGGGCAGGTTGGAAGAGAGAGAGAGAGAGAAATGGAAGGAGAGGTTGAGCGGACGTGCCGCCACGGAGAACAGGGTCGGTAGCGCGAAGCACATCGCGCGCGTTCTCGCAGACTGCGCGGCGTCGTCCGCGGGCGTTGCCGCTCTTCTGCTCGCTTCTGGAGGAGGAGGAGGAGGCCGCGAGTGGAAAGGGAGTTTCTCTCGCGTTACGTCAGCGCGCGCCCTTTCCTCTCCCCTGGCGGATATCACGCGACAAATCTCGCGTGTCGCGCGCCGTCCAGGAGGGTACCAACTCTCATCCCTTCACTCTGCCCTGTTCGGTCTCCAGGCGACAGCTGCACTTGCGAAGGAGAGCGCGCGCATTGTACCTGGCTTTGTCGTCGGTCGAACCCGACGCGGTCGTCTGCGCTAAACGGCACAATTGCTTCGCCCAACTCCACCGTTATCGCACCGCCGGAGGTTCTTGTCGTGGTTTATCCCAAGCAACGGAGTGAGTAGGTTTAGCTCCTGATTTAGCGTGGCGCGATGGGGTGGTGACGCCGGCGTATGTGTCAAGCGGGAGAATGAATGTGCATTTCGACGGCTTCCATCAGTTGATGCAATCGCTCCGCGACCATAGGCGGCACTTTGCGCAATACTGGGGACACTGTTGCGGACGCCTTGTTGCACTGAAAATGGAAATCTTGCACTGCTTGGATGGATGATTATATATTTGTACTCATCTGTTCAACTGAGCAGTTTTCGCATCATCTCATAATTGGTCCCCTCTCCCAATTTGTATGCGTCTGCATATGTGGGCTCGAAACTCGGAATCTGCAGAAATGTCCAGAAAATGATGCTTTGTTTCTGCAAGCTCTAACACACCTGAGGACCACGGCTTGAAAAATGGGCAAAGTATATGCGCAACTTGAGAGTGATAATGGAAATAGCCATTGAATATATTCTCACTGTGTCCTACATTGATACTAAACGGCTCCAGTCTCGTCGCTGCATACATAGATGCATCTTGCCTACTAATGCAGAACGTTGATCTTGTACGCAAGATCGATGTGGTGATGTATTCGTTCAGCGATGGTGCCACATGTGCACGTTCACTTTGTTTCGGGCAGTTTTATTGTATGGATGAATATTTTTTCCTTGGCACTTTTTATTGGGATATAAATTTATGTGCACAAATGGTTTACTAACACAGCAAGTGTGACTGCCAATACCTCAACATTTCATGTTCCTTGTTTTACAGAACGCAGCCTCGAAGACCACGAAGAGGTTCTCCAAGTGTACGCATCCTGGGGAAAGAACAAGGAGCACAGTGGGAACAATTTCTACTTTCGTCAAGACTTCAGGAAATATGAGTTCTTCAATTCTCCCCTGGTGAGTTGGTCTAGCCTTCTTGTGTAGTGGCTTAATTCTGCATGCATTGCTCTGCATACTGAATGAACTGATGATAACGTTAATCTTCACACAATACCAGGCACGGTTCTTTTTTCAAAAAGGCTGCTTGACACGTTTTGCTTCTGTCGTAGTAATTGCATGCCTTTCAGTCGCATCTCTTAACCTTTCTTGGTCTTCCACACTTGTGGGAACATGACCTTTCTCTGCACCTGCGCGGTTCAGATAATCTCATTCTGTACTCGGCATACAGCCTGTGCTTCATTTGTCATTTCTATTGAAACCTAGAATTTTCCACTTTCCTTTGTCCCTACAATCAATATCGCAGCTGCATCTTGCTACTATGGGCGGTTTATGAGATACGTATTGTAGGCATTGCTTTACCTCATTGACATTTCTTTCTCTTTTTTTCCTTCTTCTTTCACCCCCTTCCTACCCTTAGCAATTCTTCTCTCTGGACATGGTGGATCTAGGGCCTCAGCTGGACTGCCTGGCAGAGTCAACTGATCTTGCAAAACTGATAACTCTGCAGGTATGTGGCATGGCAACGTTACCTTTAACATTTCACTTAAAAAAGTAAATTGTGTGAGTGACAGAACAATGCTAATATCACAAGCATAGACACGGTCTTTTGCTTTCTTGTTCCTTAATTTTTTTCTTGTCATTTATTTCAATTTAATATGCTATTCTTTTCCTTGAACATTAAATCCGAGGTTGGGGTCCGAACATGCAACAGACATTGCTACAAATTTCTGGAGGATCTCCACATTTTTATGAAATCTTATCGGTAACATTGAAATTTTAAGGCATCTCTACTTCATGACGCCTTCCTTGTAGTCTTATAGGGTCTTCATCAAGTTGGTCTTACTTTATCTTCTAGTTTTTCCCAGAATATCCTCAGCCAAGGCGAGCGTTGTCCTGTGGTGCACAGCCTGCTGTGGTACCGGGAAGCCGGGAAACAGTCCTGGAAGCAGTCGTACTTCCGCGTCGAAGACGGAGAGCTCTCTGTTCTCCCATCGGGACACAAGGTGGGCCCCTACTTACTTATCACGGCGCTCGGAAAATGTAATGCATCGTGTTGCCTTATTCAAAGTAGTTGCTTTAGTAGAGGCAGCAATTGGGAGTTTCATCTTCAGTTATTTATGGCTGTGCTAGCAATTGTTGACAGAAGCATTTATGCGACAAGCATCATTATAGCGATGCTGATTTAGGCTTTCATGCTATCAAGAGTCCTTGTGTCAACTATTGCCCAAATAAAGAGACACAAATTTTGTGTCTTCGCTTGTTGTAGCAGTAATGTTGCATGGGCACTACTTCATACCTGCCTTGATACCTGATAATGCCTTGATACCTGATACCTAATGGGCACCGCTTTTGATACCTGCCTTGCATTAACAGGACGAAACGTGGCAACTGCAACACATTGCCAGCCTGAAGGACTGGAATATCTTTGTGCCATACGACAAGGGCCTAAGTGGACCAACAGCGTTCCAATTCTGCCTGAAGGTTAGTTTCCCTAACTTGCTTATGTATGTCAATTCACAGCATGGCCTCATAAAATATACCTGTAAAAAATAGTTTTCTTATTTTAGTCTGCTGTGATGGCAGCCTGTCTTTGTTTTGTTCAGCTGAGTCATGCTCATATTTTCCTTTGCATGTCTTTCAGCCTGTGAGATCCAGCGGCACCGGAAGCAGCGAGCTAATGTGGTTTTGCAGTGGCACAGAACAGCAGCGCCAGTGCTGGATCATAGCTCTCAGACTCGCAAAGGTAATTTCATTACCTTTTCTTTACCTGAGACTTGTGTAAATTGATAATGTAGCATCCAAATGACCCTTGCTACCCTAAACTGTTACGCTCATACTGGGAGCTGTTGGAGTACTTCAGATCTTAGCTCTGTTTAGGAAAGAAAATTCAACTTTATTTTGCGAACCAGGTGTGCATTTTTTTCGTGCAGTAGAGTGTAAAATGTTAGATATTGTGATGGGGGAACAAACACGTTCATTAAGATTCAGTTTCTGGTTTCCTCACTTCTTTGTGTGCTCTCTTTATCTCTTGATAAGTTTATAGCGGTCACTTTGACTTGCTGTAAATCTCTGCACTTATACATATTGCAAGCATTGGCAGGACGACCGTGCAGATTGTTGAGGTTGTTGGCTCGAGTTAAGCCGCCTCCATCCTTTTCTTTTTGCTTATTAGTAAAGCTCTTCAAATGCACTCTCACTTTATCTGGTGTTCAGAATGGAACCACATAAATTCATTGTGTTGCAGTTTGGAAAGAAACTACGCGAGAACTACAAAGAGCTACGATCTCGTTACTCCGAGCACGCATGGGCCCCAGAGCCTTGCCGAGACTCCATGAGTTCTCCCTGGGTTGCTATGGACTTTACGGGAAGCAAGGGGCGGGTCATCGAGGATCCCCAGGAAGCAGAAGCTGTAGCAGCAGCCGAGGCCCACGTCTGGAAGGTAACACCTCCATTGCATTCTCACTCTCGAGTCTCATAGCCATAGAAAAGCAGAACATATTTCGTGCCTCTGTGTCTGAAAACATGAACACCATCACACTGAACACATACCACGGACAGCATTGTAGTGTTAAGATGACAGCACTGGCCGTACTGGTGTTCAACCAACAAGTCCAAATAAGCACCCTTGCACAGAATGTAGACCTGACTTGTAGAATACTTGGGCGATTGGTGTCTTCGCTACATCATCGTGTCCAGTGACATTCAAACTGCTTTAACAACTGATTTATTCACAATCCTGTAAGACATCAAAAATTAATTACTGCGAAATGTTATAACTTGTTCACCAGAGCATGTTCACTTCGTACTTGAGCTTTGGCCAATGAAAGCTACGTTTCATGTCTCACAGCTTGCTGCATTTTTAGCCGCATTCTGGCTAAGTGTATAGCTACTTGTGTCAACACAATGTGCTTTGAGATAGCCTGCAGCGACATCCACACGCAGCAAAGCAGCATGTGTGAAATTATTATTTAATTTAATAAATAAGTTTGACATACTGAGTAACCGAGTGCTTGGGCAGCTGGGGCTGCGTGCTGTGTTTCTTTAGTTGTCTTATCTCTTCACTTTCTTGCAATATTTACAGAGGAAGTTGCCCTGCTGCCGGTCCGGTCAGGCTTCACCGACAACAGTGCCACCGCCAAGCGGGCCTCCCCCCCAATGGGCAGGTCCCCCGGCTACAGCCGAGCTGGGGCTTCAGCATATGCAGCCCTGGTTCTACAGCGGCATGTCTCGAGAGGAAGCCACCCAGCTGCTGCTCAAGCACGGCACAGTCGACGGCGTTTTCCTCGTCCGGCAAAGCCTCACGAAGCCCGGCTCTTATGTACTCTGCTATGTGTACCGAGGAAAGGTCCACCATGTGCAGATCATCTCCGTGAGTTTCATCTCTGTTCTCAGTCCGACTGCCCCATAGTGACTGCAGGCAGCATAGAATTAAGCAGCAGAACGTTATATAAAAGTTAATGTCGTCACATATTTACTGCATAGCTTGAGGTGTTTTTAATTTTTCATAGTATGGACTACACTTGAGCTCCTGAATGCAAGCATTTGCTGTAGCAGTTTATTTATTCTGCAATCTATTTTTGCTACAGTTGTGTTTGCAGAACTGGTACTTACATAAGTTATCCCGGCAATGCCTTTCACTATTAGTTGACAACTTTTCTCATAGGAAGCTCTCTACAGCAGATTTCTAAAAGCTTTTAGTGCACTTTTAAATGCTGATTCAGTAGAACTTCAGCAACAGCAAACTGGCAACGTGGCCAACAATGTCGCCACATTAATTACTATCTTTCTGGCAGTAAGTTACTAACACCTGCGGCTGTATTCTTCTATGATGACTCTAGTCTGTACTTGCATTCTTGTGTCGGTAACGTCTGGCATACAGCATCCAATAACTATGATGCAAGCAGTTCTGTCAGCTAGCTTAACTAATGAGCACCCTCTGGAAGAAATTTATCTGATAATAATCTATACCATGAACTTTATTGTAGGTGGAGTCAGTCTCTAATGAAATTAACATTCGTGTTCGTTGGCACACTCAGGTGGAAGAGAAGGACCAGTTGTGCTACTCCCTTGACAATGGCCGCACCAAGTTCTACGACCTATTGCAGCTGGTCGAGTTCTACCAGCTAAACCTGAGTTACCTTCCCACCAAGCTGACGCACTTCCTGGTGCACCAGCCCCGGCGCAAGTGCACACCACCCTCCTCCTCTCCGTCGGCATCCAGTCCCTTCAATTGATGAAGAGCCCAGTCACTAGCAAACCCATCGTATGGCTCAACCCTGCCATCTTGAAACATGGATGACCTCCCCTGGTGTGGTGTGTCGTTAAGGGTTGGTGTGACTTACACTTACGCGAGCTCGACGATGACGTGCTGTGCAGTGTGTTTTCTCTGGGCAGGAGAAGGAAACGCAAGTGTCGCCAAAGCTGTGCAGGACCGGAGGTTTTTAGTGCAGAACCCCTGACCAAGTTTGTTCACGAGCGCCACCATAGGACGCTGTAATCCATCGTACTTGTGTGCGCAGCAGGACAGTACAGGAGATGCTGTGGCATGTTTCCTCTCCTTGTTTCTCAGTTCTCCTTTTTTTCTTCTCAGCAGATTTTAACCGAGGCCCCATTATTGCCTCATCCTTGTCTTGTACTAGTTATTTATTTGTGTCTCAGCTAGCTGCCTGGCTGGCTGGGGTCCCTGTCAGTGATACCAGGGGAGACTTCTAGAGCTCGTTGAATTGATGCTTCCCCACACCTCACTTTGCTCGTCACCTTGTTTCTGGTCATCCAGCACCGTTCTCCAGCTCCTCTGTTGAAGAGTGCGAGAACATTGTCCAAAGAAGTCACTGGGCTTGCACAAACGTCTGAGGTGTCTTATGCAGGTTGCTAAGCAGCGGGAATGTCCGGCCATGCTAATTTAGATGTTAAATGGGCATGCATTGTCACTCCATATTCACCTGGAGATTAAGCCTGACCTGTTTCTCATACGGGCCTGATGCAAGCCTTTATAACTAGTTCACAACAAAAACCAAATGAAGCCTGAGCTGATTTTCTTGTCTATTCTGTCACAACAACTGTGTTCAGTGTAAAATATTGTTCATTTTTTTCTAATAACGTACTAGACAATGTATCAGTAAGAGCACACCTATGAGCCACACATAGCTCACATCTTTGTAAGGTGCTCGTACTCCTTTTATCCTACCTCCGACAATACATGCTGTCACAATACTGCATAATGTTGTGCCCAATACTAATATATAATGTCTTTCTTATAGAAGAAGCATAAAAAGCATATCAAGACTTTCGATCTTCTGCATATTGGCCGTTTAAAGATTTCTCATTTGCATCTTAGTTGTACTGGCAGGGCAGAGTGAAACCGAGACGAGCCTTAACTTTTGTGCTGACAAATATGCACCTGTAGATTGCTGTGCAAAACCAGTAAGACTGCTATTTGGCAGGTGCACGCAACAATTGCTGTTCACACAGGCACTCTCTCATTGCACTGATTATTTGTTTTCTCAGGAATTGCCTAAAAACTGAATGCATGTGGCATTGTATGAGAGAAAGTCTCCCATCGTGGGTCCTGTCAGAGCAATTGCTGCTGCTGTTGCAAGATGATGTCCATGTGTTGGTGGTGTTTAACAGAGCAGCAGCGTAACTGATGCCAAAGTGGCTAGTGCATGGCATACTACAACAGTAGCAAGCTTTGATAAGAATACCTTTTGGCTGAATTAGCAGGAAAAATTGTTTTCACAAAAAATGAGCAAATTTTTTTCCTGTGCTAAATGTGCAAAATATCAAACTCGCGAGTTTATTTTGCCTAAATTACTCTTTTTTTTACCTTAAGTCCTATTTGTCTCTCCTTTTTCTCATATTAGAGATTCCTACTTTAATGAAGGTACTGTGACACATTTCTTTTCACCAAATACTTTGTCCCAAGATGCGAGTGTATGCTTAGGAGCACTGTTCACTATGCACAAAGATGTCTACGTTGTGTAAGAGGCGATCCTCGAGCTAGCCTCCATTTGTGGCTCTTCGTTTTCCTGGAGTCTTTGATGCTGCTTTTTTGGGTGTTCCTAACATGTGCATACTGTCATGAGAGTCTTGTATATACACATTGTAATTTGGTACCCATATGTCATGTTTTAGTGTGAAATATCTAAACTAGATGCCAGTGAACATGTTTGTACAAATGTGTGCATGTATGGTGTGTATGTACTTATGATTTTTTCAGTGCACATTTTAAATATTGTTTGCTTATATGTGCATTTCTGTAATCCTCAGTAAAACTATTTACCTTCCAAGAGTCCCACAAAGTGGTGGACAATATTTCCAGTGCATCCGCTGTTTTGGCTGCATTTGGACGTCTCTGATGTCTGCATGTAAATGGACATGTCTGTGTGTGGTTCCACGCTATGTCATGTGTACTCCTGTGAAAGGCTGCAAAGACTCGCATGATTAGAGATACACACAGCTCACATAACATATTGTACGAAGGGAAATTTGTATATACCCTCATATATTTTTCTCATTTCCTTTAAGTAGTTATATTGATATTTGTTTGTCATATTTCTGTCCATTTGCTATGTTAAAATGTAAGTTATTTCAATTCATTCACTTAAGTCAGAATATTTAAGGGATGTTCCATACATTGTAAAAGAAAGTATGTTTTGCAAAGCAACACTTATCATTAGCATTTTCAACAACTCACTGCAGCTGATTTCTTTTTTTTTTTTTTTGTAAAAATATGCTGCTATAGTTACCAACCTTTTGCAGGCTGAAAGCAAGCAGTACTTCCGATGTCTTCCCAACTCAAACTGAGCAATGATGGTAGCTGCAAGTGCCAGGATCTGCCTTGAATTTTCGAGTGGTAGATTCTCTCATTTTTTTTTTCTCACGCAAAGGGTGGCATGCAAGGATGATAACTGAAACACATCATGTCGTGTGTGTGTAGCTGGAGCGTTTTTCTTCTGCCCAGCACTGCCTCAGTTTCCACAGTGAAACCTTGTCAGGTAGCAAACCATTCTTCTGCATGTTTATTTATAAAGGCATTGCTTGATTGAACTGATCTCATACTGCTACCAGTCAAGCTCATTTTTGTCGTTTTTAGAGAATGGTGGCAACACGTGCATAGTCGCAACACTTCAAAGTATCATTTATCCTTGCCAGAATATTTGGTCCCAACAAGAAAAATGTTTCTTGAAACCCCTTTGCTTGGCTTAGTTATTTGTGCATAATTGTTGCATTGTTCAAGTTTCATATTTAGCTAGTAACTGCTATCCTAAATGTGGAGACTGAAAGTCGAGAGGCCTTTCTTGTCACATTCTTGAGTACAGTTCCACTCAATTGGCTCATGCTCTATCGTCTCATACTGCCCACACTGCTCAAATGTGTTCCTGAATGAAAATCACACAAGCCCTAATTATTAGTGTGAAAGCATGATGCGAAAAAATCTCTTGCATCACTGCACTCATTTTCTCTCTTTAACCATTGAATGCTGTTTTGTAACATACTATACTATATATGTTGTATGTTTGCCGGAATGTGCGTAGTTGACCATCATTCTGTGTGCTTGAATCTATTTGCATGAAGTGCGTTTTCACGTGCGAGTCCCACGATTCCCTTTCCGTCAGAAGTGTGCGCACTGTGTGTGCTTCACCTAAATATTGAGCAGCTATAACGAGGATGGTGGCTTTGCTGTGGATTTTGATTAGGAACATGTTTGTAGCCATTTGTCCTGGTTGATGAGAGGTACCAGTGTGATACGTGTACTAGTAGTCATTCAGCAAGCATTGAGGCTGGCCTCATTTGCTGTTTGCATCTGGTGTGAGCTCCCACGGCCATGCACGCCATACCCTTATTTCTCTAGAACTTCTTGACATATTTGCTTGTTGTTTTGGTTGTATTATACTTTAGGCGTCCTCTCTTTCTTCGCCACTGGCGAGGTTGACTTCACTGCCTATGCGCTAGTGTATCACTGATGCTAGGTAACCATGCCGGAGGGTTAAATTTGTGGCATAAGTTCTGTACAAGCAAGAATGTCATATGGAGAATCACTGCAGCATAGATGCATAAAACTGAATCTAATGGCTGTCTTCGCAAAACTCCCAATTCTGAATCAAAGCATTTTGAAAATGTGTGTTTCATTTGAACATTGTTGTGCAGCCGTATTTTGTAGCAAGGCTTTCTATTTTATACTAGTTTTGGCCTTCATTGCCAATTGTCCTGCTTTCACGGTCTTTTCACCTGCATGACTGGCCATTCTGCATGAAAATGATGAGAAAAGAATGACATTGAAGGAGCATAACGATTGGGAAACTCTGCCGTGGTGCAGGCACTTTCTGTGCTTGTGCATGCTTTTGGTGTGAAGCTTGTGGCATTTGATCTATTAGTGATCTATGATATACGAATCTAATTCTTATGTCTTAATATATTTATCTTCTGCTGGTTTAGCACGGCATTCATATGTTCTGCTGATTTCCTTAAGAAGGAAGTGATTGAAATATTTTGGCCATATATGATGTAGTGGATATTCCAGCTGCACATATGTGCAAATACATAGTGGGAGCATGATATACAAGGTCAGTTAGCACTAATGCTTTGACAGATGTATGCAGCTGTGTTATACTTTTTTATCTGCCACAAATGCAGCCACTGCAGCTCACCTACATGAAAAATGCATGCAGCTTAGTCTGCTTCATTTAACAAACTTGAAATTCAGCAACATGGTGCACAGTTGATGGGCATTTTGAAGTGGAGAGAACGTTTTGTTCTCGTGAGTGTTGTTCTTTGCGCTCGAAAATTCCTGTCATTTGGTTCATTTGTAGCTGCTAGGGAAGATGTGTGGCTTAGCCAGTTAGCCAGTTTCCTCGAAACTATCGGAGCTTGCACTGCACACTCTTTTGGGTTTGATTGCACCCTATGCTGTTGTGGAACTCCAGCCCTCTGAAATGAACTTAACCTTCCTATGAAAACATGGAACTCCAAAGTCTGAAGATATGCAGATTTATAGGAAAGCAGGACAATTGCATTCAATTTCAGACAAAGTAGCAAGCTTACAAAATGTGGTCAATAACAACGAAATCCTCCGCTATGCTTAACCCAGAAGGAAATGCAGCTTGTCAGCATCTGCCCCTCTCGCAACTTGTTGCTATTTTGAGGAAAAAATGCTCTTTTTTTTTTCCTTTTTTGTGTTGGCACAATCATGCACACCCTTTTAGGGAATAACTTTTTACAGGGAATGAGCAGGCAACACGCAGTTTGCTCTGCTTTGTGCTTGGGGCACATCCTGTCCCAAAGCATTCTACGATTAAAACGAGACAGGTAAATGATGTGCTTTTGCAAGAACAAGGCAAATATGCAAGTGTTGAGAGTCGTGTATGTGTCATTTTTCGGAATGTGCCCACTGTCTCAAGTGTTTATTTATTGCGATCATCATGTTGTGTCATTTGTATTATGTTTTGTGTCGCTATTTGATGAAAACACAGTAAACCAAAAAATGAATTGTGAGTCTATGCAATAAAAATTTGAGTATTCACAGTGGTTCCCTCTGTCTAATTGTCATTTTCAAGTGCTTCTGAGCACGTGAATGATTGTTCGACTGAGTGACTTGTTCTGGAAATTCACCATATGTTTTCTTCTTAATTGAAACCAGTATGAAGGCATGCATCTGGAAATCAGCAACGTAGCCATTGTAGATGTGGCTACATTTAGCAAACTGGATATGAAAGAGCACATAACCGCATGTGTGATCTAAAGATCATTTTTCATGAGATGTTTATTATCTGAATAGACAGTTCTAGTTGGGTGTCCACAGCAACTCTGATTATGCAGGCTGTTATAAATTTTTAAGAGAGAGGGAAGGAAGAACCGATTTGCTACCCTGTAGAGGGGTGGGGATTGATTGATTGATATGTGGGGTTTAACGTCCTAAAACCACCATATGATTATGAGAGACGGCGCAGTGGAGGGCTCCGGAAATTTTGACCACCTGGGGTTCTTTAGCGTGCACCCAAATTTGAGCACACGGGCCTACAACATTTCCGCCTCCATCGGAAATGCCGCCGCAGCCGGGATTCGATCCTGCGACCTCCGGGTCAGCAGCCGAGTACCTTAGCCACTAGACCACCGCGGCGGGGCAGGGGTGGGGAAATAAAGGTCGAAAAGAGGATAGATTTAGATAAAATAAATTAGGAAACGAATACACATGCACACACATGCAGAAATTCTGGTCACAGTCGTCTGGAGAGACTGGTCCAACGCAAAAAGCGCAGAAGTGCCTTCACAGCCGCTTTCTGCGACATAAAGTCTCGTCACTGGTGCAGGATTTCTTCCGAAGAGCTCTGGTTGTCCAGTTGGTCTAGTGCTCTGTGAGCAGTACTGCGGCATTCGCACAGAACATACCGGGTTGTTTCGTCACTGCCGCTATGGTCGCAGGCTGCAGTGGTGGCCATTCTTAGTAACTTGCTAGTAGTGCACGTCGACCAACAAACCAAAATAACACGAAAGGGGCACGATGCCAAGCGATTTGTAGAGAAAGTGGAAAGTCTGTTGAGAAGCAACACGACAGGGACTCCTGGTCGACTATCGGTCATCACCTCCTGCAATCGAAGAAATTCTTTGGTTTTATTACACGTTTTATCCTCCTCCACCACCGATGAGTTTAGAGGACTTCTAGGGCGCCTTTGAAAACCTCATATAGAACTTGAAGCTTGCTGTTTTAGGTATTATCATTAAATGCGAAGCTTTGGGGCTTGCTGTCGTTACCACTCATCGGCAAGAGGTAGCCATACCAGCCATACAAGAATATTGATGAATAGGGTGAGCTTAAGCATCCAAACAAGAAATAGTCCGTCTTGCATGCGATGATGTTTGAGTTGAAAGAAAGCATTTGTCCCATCTGTAATTGATGTGTCTTCATTCTGCTGGATGTGCTGATATCATGGGAATATATGTTAGGCTTGATCCAGCATTATCTACGAGGCTATAACCATCGCACATGAACGCCCCGAGGACGTAGGAAACGGCCTGAGCAGGTTTGCTGCTTACTATTACCAATGTACTTACGGATGGCTTCCTTGTGGAAACACCCACGTATATTATTTTTCTCAATTTTGGCATTAAGTGGATACAACTTCTCAAAAACGGCTCCCTGGGGGCCGTCGTAGTCATTTCTGGGCTGTGCAAATTGGCGTGACACCACTAAGAACGCACTGCCGAGGCTGTGACTTTAGCCTTTGTACTTCCGCCTGCAACCCAGCATGGCGGCGTTTTTTTTTTTTTTTCCTCCTGTGAAAAAGCGTATAGCTCACATTGGCCGCACCCTCCTCAAAGCAGTCTTCTCCACGCTCTTGGGACTCGAGAGAAGAAGCGTACCTACCTCCGTGTTAATAATGTTTGCGCTACCTCAGGTATCGCATGGCCGTGCCAATGATAAGTTGACAACAACGGCCACGAGTGCAGTCTTCGGCCTGTCCCCATCGCATGCTTGCCGCGAGTGCGCGCCAGCCATCAGCTCTTACATCATCCAACCTGAAGTACACTGGCTGCATCAACAGCTAGGTGATAACTCCACGTCGAGAATGTGACCACAGACTTGCTCAAAACGCGGCTATGAATATACATGAATGGCGTACATATATATACGGCTCTGGTACATGAGCATCAAAGAAGTTAAATGGACCATTAGAAATCTATCCAGTTCCGCCGTGAGAACTGTCGGACAGTGAATCGGTCCCTCTTCGTAAGTCATATTACATTTTCTTCCTAAATGTATATCACATTTATTACATTTTCTTCCTAAATGTATATTGCATTTATTACATTTGCCTCCTAAAAAGAACGTCGTAACAGCTGAAATACTCCTAATTTATGTCAACTGGCTAACCTCCTTGTCCGATCCGCTTAATCTTTCCTCCTTCTCCTTAAGTTGCGCCACTTCCTAATCGGTGATAGGAGGTGGTCAAGTACGGGAGGGGATGGTGGTGCTGACACATATATTGTCTTTTTTTTTTTTGAAAGGAAGGGGGGGGGGGGGGAGCAGTTAGCACAAGGTCGCGTAAAGCTTGGCACAGGAAAGCACGGGCCCGTCGCCGCTCGTGTTTCCAGTCGACCGACGCGCATAGTTTCGAGATGCGCAAGTTCCTCCTTCGTCTGTATTTCTTTCTCGTTCTTTCGTTGCTACGCGTAAGTCTATTTCATCTTCACCACCACATCTCTTTTCCCGTGCCTCCGACGCCAGCCTCCGAGATGGCGCCAGCGTCGCAAAGGCAGTGCGTCCATCTTGGTGGTCTCCAGGCAGGCACTCCACCAGTGTATGGATAGTACACACACTTCATGTACACAGTCACGCTGATTGATTGATTGATTGATTGATTTGTGGGGTTTAACGTCCCAAAACCACCATATGATTATGAGAGACGCCGTGATGGAGGGCTCCGGAAATTTCGACCTCCTGGGGTTCTTTAACGTGCACCCAAATCTGGGTACACGGGCCTACAACATTTCCGCCTCCATCAGAAGTGACACACAGTCACGCACACAGCCTCTCGTCGCCTCTCGCCATTTCAACAGAACCGATAAAGCGCCACACCAGAGACCATCTGTGCCACCACGGACCACACAGATGGCTTTATAGCTCCCCAAGCGGATGACGTCACTGTCATGCCCTGCCAGCGTACGTGCCAGGATAGCTGTAAGAAAGAGTACCTTGGTAGCCGAGTGGTTAGGACACTCTCCTGTAGTTTAGGGTGCGGGGGTTCGAATCCCGCCACGACAAGAATTTGTCCTCGAGAAATCTTTTTCTCTTTGCATCATTTTTTACTGTCTCTATTTCTCGTTATTTTTCTCTATCTCTACTCATTCTCAGAGTTATTACCTCCAGGCAACGTCATAGCGATGAGTAGTGGGATTTGGCCAATTTCTGTGGCACGTATACCGTTTCATTAAGGTAGCTTTTCGTCACCGTGACGTACGCATTCCGCACACTTTACGCTGACCTAGAGCAGCTTCACTGTCCAAAATCCACTTTTGCAAAGCGGTGCCGAGACAGCGGAGCGGGTCGTAATTCCTGGTTTCCTGTTTCTTTTCTCTTTTTTCATCTTTTTTTACGTCAATGATACGCCCGTCATATGACTCCCCTGGTGCGCTAGCTTCATAGCAATATATGTCCAAAACAGGCGAAAAAGTTGAGGCCCTTGTCACCCTGATAAGGCTCAACTTTTGTCTGACGTCACATCTTCCACTGTTGTACTGTGAGCAGAGGAGCCATCGTAACAAAAAGTTTCCCTGATATGCTAGCTTCACCGCAATGGATGTCGAAAATCACTCGAAAAAGTTGAGGCCCTTATCACCCTCGATAAGGCTCAACTTTTGTCTGACGTCACATCTTGCAATGTCTTACCTATACTGTGACCGTAGAGCCATCCGAACAAGAAGGCTCCTAGTAAACGTCGTTGCAAAATGTGACGTCATACAAAACTTGAGCCTTATCGAGGGTGATAAGGGCCTCAACTTTTTCGAGTGCTTTTCGACATCTATTGCGGTGAAGCTAGCATATCAGGGGAACTTCTCGTTCGGATGGCTCATATGTTCACAGTATAGGTGCGACATTTCAAGATGTGACGTTAGACAAAACTTCAGCCTTATCGTGGGTGATAAGGGCCTCAACTTTTTCTAGTGCTTTTCAACATCTACTGCGGTGAATCTAGCATATCAGGGGAACTTATCGTTCAGATGGCTCCCATGCTCACAGTATAGGTGCGACATTTCAAGATGTGACGTCAGACAAAACTTGAGCCTTATCGTGGGTGATAAGGGCCTCAACTTTTTCTAGTGCTTTTCAAAATCTACTGCGGTGAAGCTAGCATATCAGGGGAACTTATTGTTCAGATGGCTCCCATGCTCACAGTATAGTTGCGACATTTCAAGATGGGACGTCAGACAAAACTTGAGCCTTATCGTGGGTGATAAGAGCCTCAACTTTTTCGAGCGCTTTTTGACATCTATTGCGGTGAAGCTAGTATACCAGGGGAACTTCTTGTTCGGGTGGCCCCTATGCTCACAGTATAGGTGCGACATTTCAAGATGTGACGTCGGACAAAAGTTGAGCCTGTGGGTGATAAGGGCCTCAACTTTTTTTAGTGCGTTTCGACATCTATTTCAGTGAAGCTAGTGTATCAGGGGAACTTTTTGTTTGGATGACAATATGAGCTTTTAAAATTCGTAAGCGTTTCTATCCTTCTGACTTCCGGATTGGATTTAGGTTCACAGATTTCCCTGAAACTTTCAAAACTGGGTGTATAGATAACAAAGATAGAAAGTGATACTTATTATTTCAGTAATGTCTATTGTTTTGGTATTGCGCGATGTCCAATATATTGGACAATGGAACCTAATCAGTTAAATTGTGAAGTAGTGGGCTTGCAGCAACACGAAGCTACATTACTAAAGAAAATTGTTAAAAATTCTGGAAGAACCATTTATTACTCAAAATTTCGCAAATATTAAAAAAATACAAAGAAAAAAGACCTTAATTTGCTACCTG